TTTGAGTCATTTGGGAACTCTGTCTTCCCCCCAAAATATCTCCCTCCCAGGTACTATAACCCTTCCCTGGGTAACCTTGAGAGACTTCTCCACCAATTTCCTGGTGAACACCGATCCAAACCCTTGGATCTTAAAACAAGGTTCCTCTGGTCAGGTGTCAGCTAGGCTAGGTGAACTTCTTAACCCTTTACAGGTAAAAGAGGCATTAACCCTTAACTGTCTGTTTATGACTGTGACGTTGTGCAGTATATATGGTTTTATGAAAACATGATAATAAGTGAATATAATGTAATTGGGATAGTTTTAGAAAAATATGGTAAAAAGTGAATATAACGTAACTGGGATATGCTTCATGCAAAAGGTCTCTTGTAAGGTATCATTACAAAGCTTATAATCTACTGAGTGTGATCATCCGATTTGTATAAATGTACCACTCTTGTATCTAAAACTAGAAATATAAAATATAACTCTAAGGGCCTATTGTAATTATGTAAAGTGTGGGCCATTAAGGATTGTTTGGAATCTTGATGACTCCCATTGTCTGCAGATAGCTGTGTTTACCTGTGAGTCTTCCTGTATATGTGTGTGCTGGCAAGTGAGTAATGAAGTCTTGCGGTGACATGTGATCATGTCACCTGAACTGGAATCCATCTTTAACCTGGTGCTTTTCCAGTGAGGGGGGGTGGAAACCCAGAGGGACAAAGGGTTCCCGCCTTATGCAAAAGATATATAAAGGGGTGGAAGAGAACAGAGAGGAGGAAGGAGCCATCATGAAGAATCCCCTAGCTATCACCTGAGCTGGAACAAGAGTTGTACCAGGGGAAAGAATTGTGCCCACGCCTGGAAGGTGTCCAGTCTGAGAAAAACTTACTTAAGCATCTCTGAGGATGAGAGTATCTGTATTTAGTTTGATTAGACATAGATTTGCACATTTTATTTTATTTTACTTGGTGACTTACTTTGTTCTGTCTGTTACTACTTGGAACCACTTAAATCCTACTGTCTGTATTTAATAAAATCACTTTTTATTTAGTAATTTACTCAGAGTATGTATTAATACCTGTGGGAGCAAACAACTGTGCATATCTCTCTATCAGTGTTATAGAGGGCGAACAATTTATGAGTTTGCCCTGCATAAGCTTTATGCAGGGTAAAACGGATTTATTTGGGTTTAGACCCCATTGGGAGTTGGGCATCTGAGTGCTAAAGACAAGCACACTTCTGTGAGCTGTTTTCAGGTAAACTTGCAGCTTTGGGACAAGTGATTCAGACCCTGGGTCGGTGTTGGAGCAGACGGGAGTGTCTGGCTCAGCAAGACAGGGTGCTGGAGTCCTGAGCTGGCAGGGAAAACAGAAGCAGGGGTAGTCTTGGCACATCGGGTGGCAGCTCCCAAGGGGGTTTCTGTGATCCAACCAGTCACAATGACAGGGGGGGAAGCAGTATCTGTGCATTACTTACCCACCATGTTCCTCTGGCAGGAGGAAGCAGTGACTGGGAGAAATCTGGGTGCCCCCCACAGAGCACTCCCCTGCCAGCTGTTAGCAGCTTCTGACTCTACACTGGCAGTGCATACCTCTGCACTGCCACACAGCGCCCCCTAGGCGATTGCAGGGTAGCTCACCCCCGAGGCCAGCCCTGTCCCTGATTGCCGTAGACCGCTCTTTGGCTCGCATTCATTTGCAAAGCCCTTTGAAGAAGCAAGCTACAGGATAAGTGCCGATTGTTCGTTGAAAAACTGGAGACCAACCTTATTTTGCCCAATTATTTCTTGGTTTGGCAACAGGAGAGAAATGTACATTTCCAGAAAATTGCATAGAGAGCGAGCAGGTAGGCGTGCATAGTCACAATAACCAAATATATACACCTATATTCTTTTGCCTGTTGCAGTGAACTTATTTTGCCATCCACTAGCCCAGGAGGATGTCCAGCACCCTAGTAGCTGTGGTGACCGGGGGCAACAAAGGGATTGGATTTGCTATTGTGCGGGCTCTGTGTAAGCAATTCACTGGGGATGTGTACCTGACAGCCCGGGACCCAGGACGGGGTCAGGCTGCGGTGACAAAGCTGCAGGAGGAGGGACTGAACCCACTTTTCCACCAGCTGGACATCGAAGATCTGCAGAGTATCCGGACTCTGCAGGACTTCCTGAAGAAGAAATATGGAGGGCTGAATGTGCTGGTTAACAACGCAGGGATTGCTTTCAAAGGTACAATGCTGGCTCACTGGCAAGGCTTTGTGAGCTTTAAATTACATGAAGAATGATGAGTAGGTGGTGTCTGCTTTTACAAGAATCCTGCTAGCTAGAGAGGCAACCAAGTATGATGATACCTAGCTCATCCCTGTGCCAGCAGAGAGCTGTTCCCAACCTGACATTTTTCTGGTGCTTTGTCAGATTTCATTTTTGATCTTGTCTTCACTGCTGTGTTAGCTCAAGATATAACTCAAATTATATAACCCAACTCCTGATCACACACACACACACACACACATCTCTAGCTCAAGAGAAGTGGTGCTTTAAACTTGAGCTAGCTGGCCCATCTGGGAGCATGCTCAAGTGCTGCTGAAGTAATGCAGTGGGGAGGCTGCTACTCTGTTACTAAAAGCCAGTCACGCTGTGCAGCTCCAGGGTTGCTTTGCAGAGTGGCTGCTCTCATTCTATCTAGGCATGAGAAATATGGAGATATACCTATCTCATAGAACTGGAAGGGACCCCAAAAGGTCATCGAGTCCAGCCCCCTGCCTTCACTAGCAGGACCAAGTACTGATTTTTGCCCCAGATCCCTAAGTGGCCTCCTCAAGGATTGATTTCACAACCCTGGGTTTAGCAGGCCAATGCTCAAGCCACTGAGCTATCCCTCCCCCAGAGGCAAGGGAGTGTAGATAACTCAATTTAACTCTGCAGGGAACACACCTTTAGGGAGCTATTTACCATGGTGATGAGCACTGTATAAATAAACAGACTATTTAGAAGCTATTCCTGCCAACGTAGTTTCCTCTACTTACTTTGCGAGTCTTAGAAAATATTATAGGACTCTATTTGTCAGGAGGCTTCTCTTGATGTTTAGCCTAAATTGTCCTTTCCTTAATTTAAACTTGTTACTCTGATTGCCTCTTGTACCATTTTAAATAATTCCCCTGTGACCTGAATGATGTTGCCCTTCAAATATTGGATTTGGCATTAAACTGATCTGTTGTTGAACGTATTCATGCATAAATCACTATCTCAACAGAAACTTCTCTTTGTAAGGTATATGCATAGTGGGAAGGGCTTGCCAGGTAATGACTGTGCACAGAACTCTTTGAATAGTGCTGGGGGATTCTAGCAAAGATTATTTGTCACACAGGGTGGATGATACATATTTTTTTGCGACAACTCACAAACTGCAGCCATCTGCCCTGAGCTCTGGGAAAACCTGCTTAAAAAGAGATTTTAAAATGTAGTAAATGTTGATAAAGAACAAAAACTCTTATGTCCTAGTTACAGCTTACATTTCTTATTTGGGAGCTATTATCTTGACTCATCACTGCTTTACCCCTGTTTGATGCTGAAACCATTGAAATCAGTGGTGAATTGGGCCTCATGTCTCAGTGTTAATATACTGGTCAGTATTCTGTAAATAGTGGTGTCCTGGCACATTGCTCAAGAGAACAGGTAAGGTGGTTATTAGCAACGCCTTTAAGGAATATCTCCACCAGTTTAAGCAATAGGTGTTCAGTTACAGCTACTCCTTGGAGTTACCTGCAGGTATGTTGTATCTAGCAAGGGGACTACAACAATTGGTATCTATTTACACTACTTGGAGAGCCCTCATGCTTGTAGAATCAATCCATCCTCATCATCATATCCACTCATTATACTCCACACCTGAATATAGCCACTCTATGAACTTCATACCCTCTTATCTCAATGCCTATACTTTGACCCATCAACCTTTTACCCCCAATCGGGGATATTGCAGATTATGTATCCCTTATGCCACCTGATCTTAAACCAAACTTTGCACCCTCGATAATCTGTACGTTATTCCCTGATAACCAGAAACTTCTATGCTCAAACTCTGTTCACTCTTTTTAACATCATCTTAATAAAATTTTTATTCTGAGTACCTACTACAGAATGACAGTGCTCCCTGTTTCTTCCTTCCCTGCCACAAAGAAACAGGCTTAATTGCCCCCATTTGCTGCAGTTCTTCAAAAGCTTGATGTTGCCTGCATGGGAATCTTATCTCTGTGCAGCACTCATCATCCTGGCTCACAAATGCGTGCTGAAACTCGACACACCAGCAGCAACAACCCAGCCATTGCCTAATGCGCATGATTGAGCTCTAAATCTGTATAAAGAATGCAGCTCCCTGCCCTGTTTTGAGGCATCAGTTGTGTCATCAGCTCTTGTGGGGGGAGCACAGAACCCTAAACTAAGAGTTCTTAGCAGGTGAAAATCTTCTCAATCTTCCACTAATCTAATATTGCATATTTGGGCCTTTGCATTTTAAAATGTTAATCTTTGCAGCACTGTGTACCTGTTACTTTTCTGCACTTTCTCTGTTAAACATCTGCTTCCTAATTTATACAGAAATGACTACTGTAGAAGGAATTAGGATTAACTCTAGTTTTCAGAGACCTGTATTTTCCCATTAACCTGTGAGCATAACTTCAATGTTATATATTTTTCTTCTCCCTATGAACAGTTGCTGATACCACTCCATTTGCTATTCAAGCAGAGGTTACAATGAGGGCAAACTTTTTTGCAACAAGGGACGTCTGCACGGAGTTGCTACCCCTCATAAAGCCTCATGGTAAGTATAACCTAACAAATACCAAAGTATCATTGAGAATAACTCTTGCTTCGCACAAGGGGGCAAACCCTACCCTCTGTTAGGAATTCGCTGTCCACAGGAGTACCAATGCATTTCTGCTGCATCAAAAGTAAGAAGACAAGAATAGCTTGCATGCATGTCTTGACACACAGAATGTCTCTGCTTTTTAATCTAAAGTTGCTTCTATTCCAATCCCTTTCTTTACTAATGGTTTATTCCGGAAGTGCTTATCTGTGCCATGATGCAGAAATGAAGGATTGTCAATTGCCTCATCTGTCCTTGCTTCAGACAGGAGGAAATGGGGATATTTCAATGTTCTGCTTGCTCACAAAAATGGAGCACTGAGGCTGAGTTCAGTGTGCTGTACAGGCTTGCACCCACAGTCACTGAAGAAACCTAGCTCCCTAGTCTTGTTGCTGTCTCCCTGCAGAGAAGTTTCACTCTATGTACACTGCAGCCCTTGTTTTGGGAGCTGACACATTTGCCAGCATCGGGTATGCCATTAGAAATACCATATTATTTTGAAAGGTAGTGAAAATCATCCCATGTGGCGATAAATGCTACAGGATGAAAGAGTTGTGTAGGTCCACATAATAATGGTAAACCGAATGGGAGAGGCCAGGATGAGACCTACTAAACTCACAAATATAACACAGTTTTATTATCAACAGACAGATGATCTGTGCTTCACTGTGCGCGCAGCAGTTCTGTTTTCCCAGCTGAACCTCTGGGAATGTCTTAGAACCCTGTGACGTCACAGGTGGAGATGTTTGAAAGGGACATAGGTCAAACTTTCCCCAAAATCTAGGTTTTGTAAAAACTTGTTTATACAATACCAAAAACCAGTAGAAAAGGTTCCATGGCTTTGTTCAAAACCAACAAACATTCCCATACTATAAAGATAAATGATCTTGAAAGGATATCTGTACTTATTTAGATACAGTTTTTATTTCTGGAGAGTGTATTTGGGTTTTTAAGAGACAACTCCTCTTTTCAGCACACATCCCAGATAATGACTCTGTCCACTGAGGAACCCTACAGAAGGAAGGAATCCCACACACATTCAATATATGGGAGGATTGGCTGACCGAGATGTGCAGTTGCAGAATCAGTCGTCATCTTCCCTTTTCCCCCACCCCGATGCTGGGACACACATTGCACTCTGTTGTGTGTTTGGCTTGCAGATCCCCTTCATGGGCTCCATACAGCCTGCTTCCCCCCAGTGCAGTGGAACCATATTGCTTCTGTTGCATTCAAGGCCCTCCTAACCTGTAGGTAGGATTCTTTCCCTAGGAATTTTGAGAGACCTCTTCATTCATACCAATTTAAAGTAGAAGGGAGAACAAAGTTCCTATCAAAAGTCCCATGCCCCAATTTTGCAAACATTGCTGAGGGGAGGGTTTACTCTTGTACATAGGCCCATTTCTGTTGTTGGGTTTTTTTTTTAATGGGATTATTCATGGAAGCATGGTGTTTGGTAGTGAGTGTTTGCAGGATCAGGATTTGTTTGTTTATTCAGAAATATCCCTATTTAAAATTGTAGCGGTGGGACATGTCAAATATTTGCTAGCAATTCTATTACATCCAACAGTGTGGTTTGGTTTGGTTTTTAAACTGTTGTTCTGAAAAGCAATCACCATACATAGACCTTCGTGGAGCACTTTTCAGGATCAAGACCTAATATTGTGTATGGGCATGTTTATTTTATATATTTATTTATAATTTTCTTTTAATAGGCAGAGTAGTGAATGTATCTAGCATGGTAAGTGTATCAGCTCTGGCAAGATGTAGCCAGGATCTGCAGCAGAAGTTTCGTAGTGACACAATCACTGAGGAGGAGCTAGTGAAACTCATGACAAAGTTTGTGGAGGATACCAAGAACGGAGTGCATGAGAAGGAGGGCTGGCCAAATACCGCTTACGGTGTGTCCAAAATTGGAGTCACGGTCTTGTCCAGAATCCAGGCCCGGATGTTGAATGAGGAAAGGAAAGCTGATCGAATTCTTCTAAATGCCTGTTGCCCTGGATGGGTGAGAACCGACATGGCAGGTCCCAATGCCACTAAAAGTCCAGATGAGGGAGCCGAGACTCCAGTTTATTTAGCCCTTTTAGCCCCTGATGCTGATGGGCCTCATGGGCAGTTCGTTAGTGAAAAGAAAGTGCAAAAGTGGTAATCCTTGATTTGTATATGTGAGATGCAGTCCAGAAACAATATCAGATATTACTGATTTATTGTTGGTACCAATAATAATTAAGCATCTGTAAATGTCTTTGCCATTTCTAATATCTTATTAGGGTTTATAGAATATACACAAGGTTTCTGCTATTGCAAAATAATTGCAGTTTGGAATAGTGCATGAATTAAACTGTGCCTTTAATTTAGTTTTTAAAGGTATGAAAAGTGTTGAAATAAAGTATAGTTTAATAAGCTAAAATACATTTGTTGAAATTATATTCTCTTTAGTGTGGGGGGGGCGGGGAGAGGTGTGTTCTTTTTAGTGATTTCACATACTGTTCCTGGTGAGATTATATCTAACTATTTGATCTTAAAAGTAACCATATCAGTTTTGGAATAGAAAGTCATTCCATTTTAAGTGAGATGGCAAAGATGGATGATTTGGCATAGATTAGTGTGAAACCGTTCCTGCAAATATATTCTCAGCCCAGAAGTCCCCAAGAGACTGCATATGCTGTTTAGTTGAATGCTTCTTCAAACTCTTCAGTATGTAGGGCCTCATTCTGCTCCCACTGAAGTCAGCAGCAAAATCCCATTGACTTCAATGAGAATAGGATCCAGCTGGGACACTCAATCTTCTGAAGCTAAAGAGTAGTTTGATAATTCAAAGTAAAGGCTTGGAGATACTAGATCTATAGTCAGATTCACCCTGAGAGTAATTTTTAGCCCATTGTAAATTAATTCACATTTTGTATTTATTCTCATGCCCACAGTGAATTAATAAATTCGGGTAGTCATAGCCTTTTGTCCACAGCTTCAGAATAAATTAACCTAGTTCCTATGGTAACAAAAAAAAAAATAGGGTAACATTTATTGCTGATTTTTCACCTCACTCTTCTAATACTACAAAACATGAACAGTTCAACTGCTTGATAAGTGCCATGTAAACAAATAATTTTAATTTATTGCAGCTCTATGCTGAATGCCCTGACCAATACACCCAAGAGAAGCAGTGAGAACTTTTTTTTTTTTTTTTTTTTAAAGTATTTTTATAATTCTTTCTCCCAAACTTTCATCCCCAGGCTTCTATGCACAGATTGAGTTGTAAGGATAGCAGATAAATCAGGTTTATCAGGATTATTTTAGATTGTAACTTCATTAGGACAGGGACTGTCTCTTACTATGCATTTGTACAATGGGGCCTTACATTTATGCCTTACACAGTGACACTTTGACTGAGGTTCACGAGCCGCAAGTGGCTGTTTAATGCGTCTCCTGCGGCTCTTTGCAGCACACGATATTAAAACGCAGTGTGATTTAATTATTAGCCCATCAGGAGGTTCTTACTATGTTAACAACCAATTAAGTTATCAACTTGCACTAAATTATTAACTTATTTGCTGTGAGAATATTCTAGATATATAAAACTAAATATTTCCCCTGTCATTCATACTACTGTGGCTCTTCTTGGTAATGTTGATTGCTAATTTGGCTCCTGAACCACTGAGATCTGAGTATCACTGCTGTATTAAATATAATTTAATAATAATACCAAATGGAAAAACTAATTCAAACTGCCTCCCAGGCATACTCCGCAACACACAAATACCACTCATCTGGCCTTGTCCAATGCTTGTGATCTGAGCATAAACAAGCACACTTCCAAATGAAATAGTGGAAGTGAAGCCATCTATTATTGCAGCTTTACTATATTTCTGCATATTATAGCCACTTTCTGTTTCACCCAGGCACCAAAAATATGAGAACACAGGTGTATGTTGGGGTGGTTTCTGAGACCTCATCAACTTGGTTCCCAAGAACTCCACTCTACTCCAAATTCATTACTGAGGTTTCTTTACTGGCACACAATCAAACTATACTTGAGTAGATCAGGATGAAGAATGGGAGTGGGTACAAGGGATAGCACACATTCAAACCTCCTTCCTTAATGTAGATTTACACTTCACATTACATTCACTATACATTGCAACACATTTGAGATTGGCTTGGTTACTTTGGAGGAACCAATCTCTGTACAGCATGCTCTGTCCACATGGTATCCATGTTTGACTTGACTTTACTTTTTGCCTCATCTTTACGCTCCCAATTTCTCTTGTCCATTGGTATCTTGTTCTTAGTAAATGGTTCCCTAAGTGTTCCCCCACTTATATTAACGAGCTCAGACATTCTGTCTTTTAGCTTACTGATCCATTTGCTTATTTTAGCACAAACATTTCATTTTCAGCCTGCTGATCCAGTTACCTCCCTAATCCTGTCTTCCAAAAAATGAGGCTTCCCCTATATTCAATTACGTATGTCAAGCCATCTTGTATTCCGTTGCTTTTCTTCTTTTTATTTCTTTTCTTTTCTCCATAATTATTCATTTCATTTGTATCATCTTCCTGTCTTTCTGTGCCTTCTTCCTAAGTTTATTACCTTGCAACACATTCCCAATAGTTGTAATTATTTGAATCCCCATAAATACTAGGCTCAAAGTACTGAACGAGGAGGTGTAAGATCACAACCTATGGTATAGTCCACCAGGATATAATTCCACATTGTAAGATTGCTATGCCTGTGAAGCAGCCTTCTGTAATTTTAACTTTGCTTTTTTTTAAATTGAATTGTAAAAAAACTGGTACAAAATAGAATTTTTTTCCCATTTATCACCACAGGAAATGTAGGTGTAAAACAACACATGGGCCAATTAAAATAACATTTCCTAGGTAGATACCAGAAGTGGTCCTTTTCAGCCACCATGCAATACTTATCAGTTTTTACTTTACTAACTTTCCAGCATCTCAACTGTATTGTGCAATTTGTTCCCCAAAGTGAACCTACATGCCAGTGCCTCTATCTGTAAGACAGTACACCTGCACATATAAGTGTCTGCCAGATGCAAACAGCAGTACATGACCTTGCACTGTCTTGCAACAATATTTGGGGAGGGAAAACAAATTTCTTCCACACCGTTTGGGTTGTAGTGGTCTCACATTTAACTTCATTGTATTGGACCCTTGTTAATTTTCTTCTATTGCACCAACTAGTGTCACCTCTCTTGTATCCAATTTTTGACTTTTCTGTGGTGATAAAAGAGGATAAGTTTTCTTGCTCCCTATCACTTAAGGCTGCTTTTACGTTGTATAGTATGTAACTAGAGCCAGATTTACACCGTATGTGCGCCCCTAGGCACAGCATCTTCAGCGCACCCCCTGCCTACAGCTGACATTTGTGCTTTCTGTAAAAAATTAAAGGAAAAGAAATATAAATGATAATTTAAATACAGTAGAACCTCAAAGATACAAACATCAGAGTTATGGAGTTATGGCAGCAGCGCAGACAAAAAAAAAAAAAAAGCAAATACTGTACTGCCTCAAGGCAGTAGCCCCAAGGCTCAGGGCTTAAGCCACAGTGGGTTGGGACTGCAGCTGCGGGGGGGGGATGGGTTGGGGTTCCAGGCTTCCGACCCTCAGGAGTACCAGGGCTCGGCGCTTTAGACTGGGGGGAGCACTGGGGTTCGGGGTTTCAGCCCCATGGCTCTGCTCCTGGTTTTAACCCTACATGGGGCACCAGGGCTCGGGGCTTTAGCTACACGGAGAGCGCCGGTTTCAGCCCCTGTGCTCCCCCAGTAACTAAAGCCCTGAGCACTCCTCCACCCCACTGAAACTGGGAGCGGAGCCATGGGGAGCCCCAAGACCCGGTGCCCCCTGCGGAGCTGAAGCTGGGATCGGGCTTGCAGGGCTGAAGCCCCGACCCCAGTGCTCCCCCCATCTCTAAAGCACTGAGCCCCAGTGCTCCCACAGGGCAAAAGCCTTGTGCCCCCATCCAGAGCCCTGGTTCCCAAGAGTTAGAAGCCTCGACTCTCTCCCCTCTCCCCCTGCCCTCACCCCCCACACACCCTGCGGTTGCAACCCCAGCGGGCCCCCCTCCCCATGTCGCTGAAGTCCGTAACCTCTTCTTCAGAGTTATGGAACATTCCAGAGTTACCGTAACTCTGAGGTTCTGCTCTACTAACTTTTAGGCGCCCCTAGAACACCAGCACCCCTAGGCACATGCCTACTGTGCCTAATTAGAAATCCGGCCCTGCATGTAACCCCCACATACTACCCATGATATTATTATGAAAACACATAGACTTACTACCAGACTTTTAAAAAAGTAATTACAACATATTGTATACAGTCAACAAAGTTTCATTAATGAGTCCTTAATTTTGCTTATTCAGGGGATGCAGTACTTTAGTTGCTATCTTCTGTTCAAATGCTTGGTCATGTTCCCACAGCATATCTGTCAGCTTGGTTTCTGACTAACATACCAATTTCAAACAGTTCAGTTCCCAGGCCAGTCCTATTAATTTTTTTCAGTGCAGTTGCCCCATCCCCACCTTGGCAGTTTTACACATTTTAAATTATACCTTATTGTCCAAAAAGTTTTTTTTCAACAGTTCTAAACCAGATTCCACCAATTTTTAGTGGGCACGGCTCACCCCTGCTCCGCCTCCACCCCAAGCACGCCGTGGCTGCTTTACTTCTCCCGCCTCCCAGGCTTGCGGCGCCAATCAGCTTAGGTGCCGCAACCTGGGAGGCGGGAGAAGTGAAGCAACGACGGCGTGCTCAGGGAGGAGGCGGGGCAGGGGTGAGCTGGGGCGGGGAGTTCCCCTGCGTGCCGCCCCCCCGCCCTTACTTGCTGCAGGCGGCCCTCCCTGCGCTCCCCTGCCCCAGCTCCCTCCGCCTAAATGCTGGCGGCGACCGGGGCGGCCGAAGAAAATGGTGCCCCCCAAATCCTAGCACCCTAGGCAACCGCCTACGTCGCCTAAATGGTTGCACCAGCTCTGCTTATTGGATTTTAATTAAGTACCATGTCTTGTTTACATTTCTTTTACCCCTTTTACTGTGTAAATTGCACGTGTAATAGAAATGTACATTCCTTTCATAATTTAACCTCTACTTCTTACTTGCTATAACATATTAGGCATATCAATGTAATTCTATATTATACATATATATAACTACTATTATTAATAATTACTTTTCTTCTGCAGCTCTTTTAGCTGTTCCTTTATTACTGAAAAAGGATACAGGGTCTCTTCTCCATAATCCTGGGTGTGGGTGCCCTTTAAGTCCCTAGTTTTATTTACTAATTTGTATTTAACATTTACAACTTAATTTTAAAAATGTTAAACGTTGTAAAAGTATTAAGACACCCCAAGTGTTAACTAACAAAGTTAAGGCTGCCAGGAAACACTGGCTGCTGCCCAAA